ACACAACCTTTCATTCGTGAGGTATTCCTCGAACTTTCGAACTTCGAAAATTCGAACTCCATAAACTTGTAAATAAGAAAATGTTGTTTATTCGAATGTGGAATATACCTCGATTGACTCTCTAAAGAGATTGTATCGCGCTTGTAAAATTTGCCACACCAATTTTTTAAATCAATGATGTCATCAGTTTCTATCATAGATACTGTAAATTTATTATATGCGTTGCATATCACCTCACAGACCTCTATAGGAAAATAATACCTATCTCTTTGTTTCAAAACTTTTTTCACCGTACCAAAAGAGCGGTTATTTGGAAGAAAAGAATGTCCACGGACTGGAAAGCGTAGGACAATTTCACAGAATCGTTCTGTATCTACTAACGTAATTTAGTTACTTTTTGGCAGCTGAACGTCAAAAAATATAATGTTGCCAATGAAGTTATGAAAAGAAATAAGTCAGTGACTTATTCCTCTTCGTAAACAAACGAAAAAAATGATCGCCTGTACACTATAAATGAACTGACTTAATCTTTTTCTTGAATAATATTATAGATCTATGCAAAATAATTAAAACTGTATTAAAATTGCCATATCAGGAAAATGCTGACTTATTCCCTTTGGTTATTAACCGATTCAATTCCTTTAAAAATATTAAGTACCTATATTTCTATCTGTTAACCTATTGCCTCACCAAATAAGCCTACAGTGATTACTTTGTCACTAAGCTAATTATTGATGTAATACTTCTCCTACACCTGTGCGACGAAACTTTGGTACTTAATGCTGTAAAATTAGCGTTCAAAATTTGATTTTCTTTCGTAGCGAATTATCAAGTTGCGTGTCTGTAGAAGGCGATTTTTGACACGCATAAAAGACTTTCCGGGATCCGATAGAATTTGTATGTTCAGCTGAAAAAGTGTACTTGCGATGGTACTAATTCAAATTTGGAACGCTAATTATGGAGCATTAGTACCAAAGCTTTGTCGCGTAAGTGTGGGAGAAGTATAGGAAATATGTATTTTATTATTATTTTTGATGTATAACATCTTTCCTCTCACTTTCCTGCCATTTGTAGGAGTGATTTCGTGAAATGGGACGGAAGTGTGTAACAGCGCGCGCTATTTGATTTGATTTTAGAAAATAATGTTCAAATGGCATATTCCTTTGGTAGTAGGTTTTACTTCTTTTTTTACTAATATAAGGTGAGGTTTCAAATGTTACACATCATACGCGACTACGACTAATTATACGCTTAGTCTGTACTCTCAAGCTAATATTCATGTTTTCTCCAAGGTAATTTCAAAGATATTAAAATAGATTTTCATTAAATCACGAATACCAGTGCATTAAGTCGTATAAAGTTTAATGGGGTAACTTCGACTTATATGAAGTCCTGTTTGGGGCATATTAAATTTATTGTAGACCGGCAATATATAACAAGTATTAAGGCTTTTGGTATAACTGAAGTTATCGCTTAATATTTTTGATCAGGTTTAGTTTTGTTCACAGAAAGACTATCGGTACCTTGAATTATTTGAGCTAAGAAAATTAACACCAAGCAGTTAAATTCTTAAAAACAATAATATAATAAACATGATATATTAGACAATTTTAAAATGAAATGCTGTAGGTACAATCAGTCAATTTGATTCATGACCCACCATAAGCTTATTTTGTTACAACTATTTCAAAACAATATGGTAGATTTTTGCTTGTATGTACATATCCCTGGAAACGAACTTGTTATTTTCTGAACAATCATATTTTGCCACCTTCAATCAAATTTTGACATAAATTTTTTGGAGTTTTGCCCGTGGACTAAGAATTTATTGATTTTTTACTCCGTTGACTTCACGCTACCGTCAAGCGTACTACGGGCTTGATGGGTATTGACAAGTCTTTCTCATTTGCGTCCGCAGCATCGAAGATGGGGGATCTAAACGTGGCAATAGAGAAAAGCGCCGACATTATTATCGACTGCAGTCCTCAAGTTAAAACGCGGCTAAGTAAAAAAATAAATTTTGAGATATGGCCAAAAAACGGCACGTAAACTTTAAATTATTATTGCTATTTTGTAACCATTCATCACATGATGGATTTTTAGACTTAAACAATAAAATATACGAATACGTGTTAAAGACAGATCGATAGAGAATTAAAAACTATATAAGATGCAATTTAAGACTGAAAATCGAACACCTTTCACTTAGCCACACTTTAATTTGAGGACGGCAGCCGAGCGTGATTTTCTTCTATTATTAATATAATAATAATATGGGAACTCCTGTACTACGGAAAGTTTAAATTAAGGAGTAGGTATGCAGACAATCTGCTGTCTGTTTGACTCCAGGTTATATCTCATGTATTGAGTAAATATTTAAGGGGAGATCCCATGCAACAAACGTGATTTTTCACCGTTTTTTGCTCTACATTAATAACGACATCATGTGAACTTGAAATATTCACAAAATATTAAGTTGTTCACTTTAAATTTAAAAAAAAAGCAAAGATTTGAGGGGAGCTCCCATACAACAAACGAGAGTTTTTGCTCGATATTATAACATAGTACCTAATTTTGTATAAATAAAACAAAACCTAACTCTAACTCGCACTCGACTGGTATTTTTGGAAGGACTTTCATTCATGTCACAGGAACGTTCTGTAGGCGACTGTAGTGTGCGCACTTGACGGCACCATCAATGGGCATCAAGTCGCTCGTCAAGTGAAAACGTCAATAACGTAAGACTTGACAAGTCGAATTGATCGTCTACGGGATCTTTTACAGATTCGTAGAACTTAAACGTGACTCGCGGTTCAAGAGCGCGCCACGCCTTACCGCTCGGTACCACGTGCTTATGTGGACGACAATAGCTGTTTGTTTGATCTTGTACCGCGCAGTAGGTAGTTCCACGTGGTACCGCGCAGCCATATGAACTTAGCCTAAAAGTGTTTGCTAAATTCAAACAACTATTGCAATTTTATATATGACATGATCAATTTTATAAAAAATAAAGGGTAAAATTTCATATATCTTTGATCCGTATTAACACAGTTTCTTTGTTATTAAAAGGTCGTAAGTGTAATTATGCACTTTCACTAAGAGAAACTTGTCTTTTTCTCATTTTCAAGCGAATTATTGCGACAGTGGGTTAGGAATCAATTGGTTCGATTGTACATACATTGTCTTAATTGAAATAGTTATTAAATGCCAAATATCAGTATATTTATTTTTGTTTCAAAGTCAGTGTTCATCTTTTCCAATTATATTGATTCTAAATTTACTTTTTGTTTGGAACTTTCGAAATATGTTTCAGGGGAATTCAATTATTTTCCATAGGTCTGATTTCAGCTGATTTGATTGACAGTTTGAAAGTATATTGTTAAATAAATATCGACCTCATTTTCAATTTCTTTTTTTTTAAACAAAAACCTACCCTTCTCGTGTTTCCTTTACCTTATTAGGTAGAAAATCTAAGATATTAAGAAATACCATGCCAGTTATAATTGGACTTTTGTCTTCGTTAAAACATTTTTATCATCCCCCAAAATAGCGGAAATATAACAAGTTAACATCAAGAACATCAAGTCAAATATAATATTTTATAACACAAATAATGAGCGATGAAAAGTAATTGGTTTGAAGTTGCGAAGCATTAAAATAAATTACTTTTGTTGTTTCATTTTTATGACGTATAGGTACTTATTCTAAATCTTATTGTAACGTTATATTAAGCTATTTTATTTCTTTCAATATATATGCCATGTTTTTACTGCTCAAAATACTATAGCGCAAAGTAATTCAGGAGTAAGGTATATCCGAGCGAGGGGTCGACCTCATCCGATGGGTCCTTAAGGGGCTTCCTGGCCAGAGGCACCCCTAAGGGGGTTTTTGGGTTAGTATGAGTCTGACGTAACCCTACAGCTGGTTTTTTACCTACTCCCCCGAAAGACCTTCAGACATGCCTTATCTAACCCATCTCCCTGCCCTGTCATTATTCTTAATTTAGACTATTAAATACCTACTCGATTGAACACTAATACTACTACTACTACTATAGCATAAGATAATTCTCTCAACTTCCTTGTGGCATGATAATAATACATATATACATTTACAGTACAATTTAGCATCCATCAATTCGAATATGAATTTCTATGAATCACGTAGGCATATCTCATAATCTCAGATCTCGTGTACATCTAACTTACATTATCCGAGACAGTTACTCGGATGGGGCAAGGAGGTTTAATTGCGAGTTCTGGGTGTAATTCAGTTAGTGGCGTAGCCAAGTCAATTTGTTGCGACCGCTGCCTGTCCAATATTTGACATAGTTCACTGCACCTAAAGAGCAGTACCGTGGGCTTGTTGGATATTCTGAATGGTTAGTTACATTTCATAGATAAGGTTGGTGTTTAGAAGTTATACTAATATAGTGACAACGGAACTTAATTATTCAATTTGACGACACTGTATGAAATAAAATAGGGAGAAAAAAGCAGCCCTTGCTGAGTTTCTTGTCGGTTCTTCTCAGTACAAGGTCTTGTCGTAGAACCAACCAACCAACCAATGGCGTAGCTTTCGACATACACATGTACTTGTAAAACTCTTAACTGAATAAATGAGTATTGAATTTTATATGAACGCTTTGAACAACGGTTCACGTTGTTTCTCAGTCCTTGTCTCATCAACCGTAAGTAGAATTTGTTTCGTTCCATTCTTTGTATGGTGGACCTCCAGAGGACGCATCCTCAGAGGATTATTATACTACCTCTTTCACAAAATCATAAGCTAAAGAGGATTATGATAAACCTTCTTTCATTAAATTATGGGCTGCAAAAGATCGCGATATTACCTCTTTTACAAAATCGTGACCTATAAAAGTGCTACTAATCGTGTGCTACAGAGGATCGGACAGCACCTCTTTATAACCGACGATTCCCTGAATTATTATTTTTTTATCATGAGCCTACATGAGCATATAGTTTCGTTAATGTGCCTACCTTGGCTCTCATTGAAGACTCCAAGCACCATGATGACCAGCACCACCAGGCCGACCTGAAGTCGGTAGCCGATAGCGCGCATCTCTACCAACGACCGGCCCATGGTTCAGCGCTGTCTCATCCATTCGTTGTACGGCGGTATCGCAGTCGAAGTCCAGTCCGTTGGACGCATCCTCTGCAAACAAGAAGAAAAGACTGTTAAAAACTTGGACTTTTGGCTTTTTTTGGGTTCCGTGCCTAAAAAGAAAAATACGGAACCCTTATAAGATCACTTTGTTGTCCGTCTGTCCATCAATGAGAAGAGAGAAGAAGAAGAAGATCAAGACCCTTTATCTCGGAAACGCGTAGAGGTATTGAGTTCAAATTTAAACCATATAATAAACTCAAGTCTATGGTGTTTTGAAGCTGGAAAAAAACAAATTCCGAGTTAACGTAAAATAGATGTACGGCCGTTTATGTTGCGCACTTACAAATTTGTACGGAACCCTCGATGAGCGAGTCCAGCTCGCACTTATCCGGTTTTCTTAAGTGTGTATGCTGTTGGTCGCTGATGAACTTTACAGTGTCACTAGGTTTGGGGACGGCGAGATCCTAAAGGGATCTCAAGCTGAGAATTGGCGAGTGCTTCTAGAGGTATTCCAGGCGGATGGTATCTTTCCTAGAGGGGAGTCTCCTCTCCATCTGGAGCTTGTAGACCACTCGAATCCAAGGGGGTCGACTCAACTAGAGGGCGTCTCTGAGGCTCGGACCGCAGCTCTAGTAAGGCGTAATATTTTTATTGCTTTAATAACAGTAAATGATAAAGAAAAAACTGATTTTATTTCCATGTCGCTTTACTTTTCGTTTTTCACTAGATAGCGCTTTTTGAATGCCATACGATTGCGTGAATAGATACTCGAGCGCGACGCTCTTACTTCAATGGTATTCGAAGGGCTCGAATAGGCGATGGACATTTCTTTAATAAGAACATTATTTGAAAAACATTTTCTACAAAAAGTTTCTTGAATAATCTTTGCTAACGTTAGTCAAAAGTGCGTCAAGATGTACTTAAACTTAATTTTGCAAGAAAGCATAAAAAAGTATTAATTTTACACAAGCATCAGATTATTAACAGGCCCAGGCCTGTGTGCAGTGCTAACGACTGCCGATGCAGCCGAGACCAATAGCTTAACGTGCCGTCCGAAGCACGTAGGAGTTCAAGTTAATAAGTTTTTGGTCACCCATCCAATGACCGACCATTGCGAAAGTTGCTTAACTTTCACAATCGCAGGCCGAATGCTCTTAACGCCTGCGCCATCGAGGTCCTCGAAATTAATATTATTATTATATATCATCCATTTACAGTATTAGTTTCATTTACAGAGTAAATCTCGGGGAATTTATTTGGGATTCTAAGCAAATGGGAAAGCGTCTTTCTGCTTTGTCGCTACATTATTCATTTTGAAAGATAAGACCCGTGCAGGTCACGTTGAAGGAAATCTTAATTATATCAATTAAGAATAGAGGTGATAACGGGATAGATAGAGTAAATGAAAAACAAATTATTCCGTCAGCTAAATTGTCAAAAAATAATGGACTCATATTTTTTCTTTTGTCAAAACAAAAATGACAATAAGAAAGTCCCGTCTGCTGCCTGGTCCGCGTGGAGTTTTTTCTAGTAAAATATTCATTAGACTTAACATTTAGCAGTTTAATGCTTAAAAAATACAAAATATCACTATAAGAAAGAGCGTCAAAGTGGGGGCTCATGGCGTCATTTCTAAGCAAAATTGTATCAAGTGATGACGTCATGCGTCACTTCAATCCATATCTCTGTAATGTTTTGATTATGTAAGAAAGAAAAATACGTGCCTAATACTTTTTCATAATCTACCTGATAATTGCCAGATAGACGAAGAATAAGTTAGTTATTATCCCTATCGTAATTGCAATTAAAGCGTTAGGAATTGTTATAGCTATGACACTTATCATCACTATATAATATTCAACGCGTAAGTTTCAAAGTGTATTTGTCATCACGACTTCCATTTGTGAGAAATTACTCAATGAATGTAATGTTTCTATTACAGGCATTTGAAATTTTCCTTAAAGTTTGCTCAGTTTTCGTACTTTCTGTTAAAATAATGTAAAAGCTTTAAGCTCGAAATGAAATCTGTATTTGCTGCTTTTAGTGACTAAACTACGGAACTCTTGTTGAATAAATTTATTTTTTGCATATTACAAGCTCGCTGCAAAAGCTTAGTGGTATTTGCTAATGCGCGTAATTTCTCTACAGCTTTTGTCACATTTGATTCAATAGAAGTAGTAGATAATTTTAGAAAATCACGTATCTAGTTCTATCTTATCATCATCATCAGCGCATTAATGTCCCCTGCTGGGGTACAGGCCCTTCCTATGAATGGAATAGGGAGATTGGGCCATGACTAGGGTTACTATTTAAACCTCCCGACAAATAGCCGGACATTTCGAGAAAATTCCGGACATTTTAGTCACAAAATGCAAACATATCACAATATTATACGCGTGGTAGCAGACGCTCACATCGTGATGGGGGGTCACGTTGTTGATTTTTAAAGAAGATTCATGTGTTGTTATAAATTAATGAGAACTTTATAAAGATTATTTGACTGAATAGATATAACTTAATAAGCACTGAGGAGCTCGAGACAGTAAATGGTCACCCATCTCATGACCGACCATTGCGAAAGTTGCTTAACTTCAACGATCGCAGCCGAACGCACTGTCCACTTGCGCCATCGAGTTCCTCTATATATCGCCTAGGTTCTCGGTCACATTTTTTTTGCGTAATTTTGAAATATGTCCAGCATTTCAATTAAGAATAGTCTACACAGCCGAATTTAAAAGCAACTCTAAATGAAAACAAACGACGCTCACAATCCGTTCACGAGCGTTTCATTGAATTAATCGCCTTGTTTACATAACCTGGAAATTTGTAACAAACAATTTTATCGCGTTGCGGGATGTACGCGAAAAATTATTTGCCCCCATTTTTCGGTCGTTTATCCACAAAACTTCTCAATTAGAGAGTTTACCGCTTACAAAGAGAGTTGCCGAAACTTTCTTCCACCATTAAGAGCGTCTTTTAGAAGCAGCCGAGTTGAAGACTGCAAGTTTTAATGTCTTAAGATGGAATTTTCTTTGTACAAAACACGCTTCAACGCCCCAATAAAAATTGGCGTGGGGGATCCGTTTCGCTATAGTTTTACCAATAACAGCCCGTTTAGTTTTTGTATTTTTTTATCGCTTCGTACGAATAGAAAGTAAGCAAAAAGGATAAAAACTACAAGTTTTTATTAGTTTCTTTCTGATTCAGATACATCAGAGCACGTCCAGATCTATTGCAACAGACTTATGATTATTTCTCAATAGCCGTAGTTGGACTTGAATCTTGAATTCGTGTTTGCCAAAGCTGGGGTTATACTAACGCGAAATGACATTAATTATCGATTACGATTGACGTTTAAGTTACAGTACGCGCGCGATCTGAGTGCAGCTCTGACGAATGCGCTAGTGCTCGGATAACCGCTCGAGCTAATACACTGCAGACGTGCGAGGCACCGGAATGCGAGCCCCCAACCTTATACTCCGACTGCACTCAGAACGCGTGCGTACTGTTAGTACATTAAAAGTCCATCACCGTGATAATTTCCCGTTTAAAAGGGTCTATGCTTTGGTACTGGTGTTATGTAAAAAGGAAAATAGTTTTATAACTACATGATTGATATTAAAAATTTAATTTTAACAGTAAAAAACAGTCAAAGAATAGTTTTTTATTTGATTATAACGTGACATGTTGTCAAAAACAGCATGCAGCAGCCCGCCGCTCAGACAGACTTAATTGAGGCACCAAAAAGAAATTAGGCATGCGAGTCGCGAAAAAGGTTCCGCCTCCTATCCCCAAATGTCCTAAAAGCTGTTTCGTCCGTGAGTTGAAAAATTACATATAAATGTGAACGGCAATCTAGCACAGCCGGATAAACATCCGCATTGTGTCGGGGCGAAAAGAAAAAATGATTTCAACAATCGAGACTGCTGAATGTTGAAAGAACATTTTTTGTCTCATATATTTTACGTGACATCCCATACTTAAAGGATGGCGAAGGGAAGCATACGTGTGTATGCCAGAGATTATTCTGTAAGCTCGCGAGATTCAACCTACTTTCAGAGGAAATACAATATTCACGATCTGAACGAAAATGCTGGACTGGCGGGGGCGAAAATACAACTGCCAATTTTCTTTAGGTCAAGGCTACACAATAAAATTCTCTTAGTGACAGACGTCTAGCATATTATCGGAGTTTTCACACTATTTATAGATCTAGACAGTTTCGTAAAATAGGTCTCTACTGTCATCTACAGCTCAGTATTGTAATAATACTTTGCCAATTCATATTACGATCATTTTGAAGCAAAATTAATATAATATTGAAAACTTTATAAGGTTTCTGACGTTATTGCGTAGTCATTACCTTCTAGGTAAGGCACTTTAAGTTGACTCCAAAAAGTTCTTTATTAATATGATAGTTTTATTGGTGTTAATGCTGGGCTATCTGATGAAAGCAATTAAAAAATCGGTAATTTTATTCTCTATAACAATTTAGACCGATTTTAATTATTTAGAAATAATTGTTACTATCATCATGCATTCAAAGAACTTGTACGACATCGGTGGCTGAGTGGTTTGTACGCCGGTTTTCATGGTGTCACCAACTCGACTCTGTATATAATACAGGGAGACAAAAACAACCCTTGCTGAGTTTCTTGCCGGTTCTTCTCAGTACAAGGTCTCCCGCCGTAGATTTGCGAACCGATGGCGTAGCTTTTCGACATTCACAGGTGCTTGTAACAGCCTAGACTGAATAAAAATATATTCGAATCCCGGAAAATCGAATTGGTGTGAGAGTTTAAAATAATAATAATAGGTACTTAATAAATGTCATGTAAGGTTTTTTTTTTAATTCTACACTATAAATTTCCTAAAACTTGCAAGTTCTGATAAATTAGTAACACTAATCGATTAAATGGGTGGACAACAAGCTTATAGCCCGCCTGATGCTAAGAGGTCACCAAAGTCTCATATTGGCGAAACAAATAATGTCACTCACATTATTGCCTACCCTGACGTAATCTCCTTCCCCTTGAAGTCCAGGAACC